GGTCTATTAATGACTGATTGATGATTTCAATGGGCAAAAAGCACTGATCTCCACAGCTCTAACTGAAAAATCGTAAAATGTGCTCACTAGTGACTACTAGCTTCATGAGGAAATTCCCCGAGTTCTAGTGAGAAGACGTGACTAGTGGAGTTCAATCTTGTCAACTGTAGGTAGTAAATACCGAAGACAAATAGGTGAGGTGGCGCAAAATCTGTCGATTGATGAGAATTAAACATTATCGTCGTTAGATGCCAGCTCTGTGGTCCAGAGTAAGGCGTTCGCGCAAGACCGAAGGTCCTGGATTCGAATCCTGCGAGGTGCAGGAGTCGTGGGTGCTCACTGTTGATGAATCCCATTCCAAGATGAAGTGGCCGTCCAGTGGTTCCAGGTTTCTAATAGTGGTCGAACAATCATTGATTGATGATTTCAATGTGCGAAATACGTGTCTCTTTCAAATCAAACCACTTATTCTATTATGCCTTAACGTCTTCTTTCATTAAACTACCGAGCTATTCGAGTTACAGTTGATCTTGTGTAGGAATAACTTCTAAGTTACTGATCAGTGTCTTGTTTGTCATGTGAAGATCGAATTCTGTCAGTCAGAAAAATTAAGATCTTGTGCAACTATTTTATATCGATCCATGTCAATAAATTTCACATCCGAGCACCCACACGTCTGGAATGAAACGGTTATTGAATAATTACTGTTCTGTAATATAAACTCGTTAAATTTGGTTACTGAACAGTTGCAAGTTCATTCAGCTGTCCCGATTTTCGAGTATGAACCGTGAAACTGTAGTGAGTCATTCAATGTTTGGCTCTCATGACTTGTCCCACTTATCTTTTGACCTTGTCAATCATTCGTCACTTTTGTTCATGTGTGTACATACCTATCTCGTTTGTTACACGTCTGTCTTATTTTTGTTGACTATAAATTGTTAGTCATGCGTTATCTCTTGGAGTTGGTTTACTAGCCTTCTCCACTCCGTTTCATCCATTCGTTCGCCCATTTGCCAATCCGCTCGCTAGTGTGCCTACCTTGACTGCTTGTGGTTTGCTGTTCCATTTTGTGGTGTGCTAAAAATAAACGTATTCAACACTTCGTATTTGCCTTCTGATTTATAACAATCAGGCTCTATTTGGTGACGGTTGCCTAGACGAGCGAATTACGAAGCTTAAGAACCGTCACGAAACTAGTGATGCATTGCTCATCACAAAACATTAAGATCTTGGGTTGGATTATTAACAGAGTTTGGGGCTGCACATTATTTAGGCAGTTTTCTTGTGCTTACTGGTTTTGATGATACTAACACTGAGATAAATCTATGACCAATAGAACCCATGAATTGGACATCAAAAGGATGGGTAGATAAAAATATCCAAATTCATTAGTGTGTCAATAAGAAGTGACCTAATGAGAAAACCATTTGACCGGCCTCAGAAATGACCTAATCGATGAGTGCATATCATTGGTGAAGAAAACCGTTTATTTCATAAAGTAGTATATAAAAACGACAACTTATACATATACTTAGGTAATCAAATCAACTTTTACCTTCTCATTCCAGTTGCTAATTTGGAGGGGGGTGGCGTGTTAGCACGTATTACGTTCAAACTCGGGACACGGCATATCATAAGAGATATAACTGGTTGTGAAAAAAAAATAAACATAGATACCGAGTGAAAAAGTGTGATGGATGTCTCAACCATCTTTATCATTGAACGTCTACAGTCAGTCAGTTACAGCGTAGAATTTCGTACAGGTACGTACATCAGTTCATGTTGCCATACCACGTTAGCACAGAGATGCGATTGTCAATTCAAATCCAATAGTGGTAAAGATAGTAGGAGTACTACTGGTAGTGGAGAATTATAGGGTTTGAAGATAGTATTCAAGCAGTATAATTCAGTGAAATAAATTTAGAAGGAGACAGGTAGAGGTGATGAGGAATTCAGAACGTTAGAATTAGAGAAAACACAAAGGGTGAAAGCACCTGCGCCTTTGCAAACGATTCCGAGCCATGTCGTTCAAGGTCTCTAATCATCAGTGACTTTCGTCTCATGGACTCCAACCAGGTAGTCTACATCTACCAACATCACTCAGTCCACTTGTCAATGACTTCATGGATTTGTGCGATGTTTAGGATTGGCCGCCCCTAGCTTTCTCCCAACCTACTCCTACACCGCAAAACATAGCTCATAGAGGCGGTCGGTGGTTGGGCATTCGTCTACAGTTTCAACGATCAACATATCAGCTGTGAATATTTTACATCTAATCTTGAAATTACTTACTTGATCCTTTCACTATATATATAAAATAAATTTGAAATAACTATGGTCAAATACTAACAACTTATCGATAATAATATTCAGAATCGACAAGCGCATACAGGCTGAATGTTAGTCCTTGAAAAATTCTTTAAATGTGGTTAGAGTAAGCAGCTTTTATGGAGAACATTTAGAGTGGTTACTATAAAAAACCGATTTATCTCAAGTTATTTATTCTTTTGAATTTCCTCTCAGAAAGATAATTGCTGATTAGGAAAACAATAATTAAATTTATTAAGAAAGCAGCTGCTTGAGCTATCAACTATCGTACCCGACTGAACAGAAGAAGTCATGAATGTTAAAAATGAACGAATAATTTTAAGCAGCTGAATTAGAGTTCAATGCTTTGAATGTTCATTTATTGTCTACTGGATTTTGTGATTTACATATATACTACTAAATTTAATACTAGTAGTTAGAATAACTGAGGTAAAATTTCAGACTCCAAACTATTATTTTAGACGTCATCGGATTAACCCAAGAAATTTTATACTTTGAAGTTTGTTAATTCAGCTTATTTAAGGATCAATACAGGTTTTGTTTAATTAGCCATAAATTACAATAGAATATTTTACAAATTTCGCTACATTTTTGTGTTGATTTGAAAGTAAAAGATACCATATACATACTTGAACCTAGGAATTAGTAACATTATATCCAGCGAATGTCTAGGGTTTGAAAAAAACTGATCGAGACATATGAACAAAAGGTAATAGGCAACAAATAACAATAAATGCTACTGAAAATCAATAATCCAGTGTAAGTTTGTAAGCAAATTTCTGTTCTAAAGATAAAGACAATTTAATTGGAGGAGGTTTAGTAGAACGCTCGTTGTTCAATAAGAATTTTACCTTATCTCAGAATCCATATGACTACAACTGAATCAAAACACATAAAATAGAACAACACAATGGGAATCTTTAATACACATAAAGTAGAATTAATTTACACTATTACATCGTCTCTGAGTTAATAAAGAAGTCTGACAAGATTAAAGTTCTGAGCTGATAATGTTGTTTTAAGCTATATCAAGAGAAAGTGTTTTACAATAGACATACAATCAGCGAAATAATTTTCACAAACCTGTTTAGATTGTAGCTGCTTATTAATACTTATATGATATATATCATGAATTTTATGCAAAATTCTCTCAGCTCTAAATAATGAAGTTTTATTTTATCTAATCTCGATATATTCTTACGAAACTGATCGTAGTCAGTCAGTCACTTAGAACTTCGTACATTAGTACAAAAGTTAAGGTTAACATACCGCGTCAGCACAGGGGGTGCAGGAAGGATTATTTTGGGATCAATATGGTATCGCGTGCTGTTACGGGTATGAGAGCGGTTGTAATTTCCTGGCTGCCCACACCCTGGAAGGGTGTTTCTTGAGAAACCTGAGAAAAAGGTAGATTAGTGTTGGTCTTAACGACCTGGGAGCGTGACCACAGAGCTCGAATGGCAACTGCTTGAGGCCTGTCACGCACGGTCTTTTTATGAGAAGTTTTTGAAGTGTTAGCTCCGTTCTTTTTAAAAGTATCTACCGCCGTAGACGGAAATCCGTGAGGTAAGGTGAGGTGTGACATTTTTAGGGTCGACCTTTTCTAACCCGTTCCTTCCTTGTGAGAAGGCTGAATCTCTGAAGATGCTAGCTGTCCGACGGAAACACCTTACTGCTGTCACACCTCTCTACAGTCAGCTGTACGACTTCGCCCTCAGACCTTGAGTAGCTGTTTTTAGTCTCATCGTTCTCCAATCGACCTTCCTGTCATAGTAGAACCTACAGGAACATATGTTCCAGCCAATATAGCTTAGTAGGGTCATCACGACAGGCAAGCCCGATCACTGGATGTCAAGGTAGCAGCTACGGTCGGGAGCACACCGAAAGTATAACACTCAATTAACATTTAAGGGATTGGAAGATCATAGAGAATCCTCCTATAAGAATTAGAAATCTTATCGGTTTACATTTGTCGAATCCGATGAAATATCCTCTCTGTCACTTCGTTAAATCTACAAAGATAAATTAGAGATATGTTTTCTCAAAACTTTTTTAATCAGGATAAATTACGCATTACTCAATTATTCAACTTTTTAAAAATGAATTGAAAACAATGAATGATTCTGCATTGAATTAAAATATATTTTCAACCTCATCTCCAAATGTCATGGATTCGATTCCGGCGCACTACTGATAAGTCCCATACTAGGGACGAAATAGCCATCCAATGCTTCCAGGTTCCTATTTTTTTTAATGGTTGTGTAACACTGATCGATAAATGTGATTTCAATAAACAATCAAACTATTATTCATATCCAATTGGTTACATTTTGTCGATTTGTACCTTAAATATTGATTTTTTTTTGCAAAAAGGTGAATGGACAACACACTTCACTGAATTAACCAATCAGAATCATGTTAACGTTGGCTAGGTTAATTGAACGCATTAAATTGATTGGTTATATGTGCGTGTGTGTATGTATTCACTTATTCATATTGGTGTGTAATGCATGGTTCGATCAAAAACAATTCTGTTCAAATTTTAATATTGGATTTTAGAAATTGTTCAATGTTCAAACTATGTAGGATTTTGGTGTGTGAAAAGATTTTGCCAAGCTAAAATTGTAACCTTAAAATTACAGAATTATTATTATTATTATTATTATTATTATTAATATTATTATTGTGAAGAGTGAATACTAATATTTTAAAGATGGTATTTGAGAATATAAATAACATTTCTATCTATCAATCTATCTATCTACACATTAATGTATGCTAGTATTGTGCAATAATTAATTTCTATACTGTACAGTATAGTAATATACACTTTATAACGGATATTATTGATTCATTTTGATTATTACATGAAATCTGCATCATCATATCAAATTCCGGTTAGTAAAAATAACAATAATAATAATAATATTAATACTACTAATAATAATGAACGTTTGAATCGAATGAATTTACTCAGTAATTCAGCTGGAAATTTATCCTCTACAAGAAACACGCCATGTTTACGATCAAATTCATTAAGTAGTGCAACAAATTTAAATGAAACACTACATAACACTACACCAACTAGTCATAGTAGTGGTTGTACTAGTGGCAATGAATCCAATGGGAATCATGCATTGAATATGACATTCGGATCTAATTCACGTATAGTTGGTAATTGTGCTGAATGTGGTCTACGTATTGGCAATTTGACAGAGGCATGTTATGCAATGGGTTATTTATATCATAATTCATGTTTTGTATGCTGTTGCTGTAGTAAGTCCGTTTTTTTTTTCTTGAGAAATGATTATGTAATTGCATATTTATTAAATATTATGTGGTATATGTGAGTCAGTCAGTCAGATGCAACGTAGAACTTCATACGTAAGTACATCAGTTCATGTTGCATACCACATCAGCACACAGATGTAATTGTCAATTCAAATCCAATAGTAGAAGAGGTAGTAAAGGTATTAGAAGTAATCGGAGAGGTTAGGATTAGAAGATATTATTCAAGAAGTATGATTTAATGTGAAAAGTTTACAAAGTCAAAACTAGAGGTGTTGAAGAATCCAGAAGATTAGGATTTGAGAGAACACAAAGAATAGAATAGTTTATCGTATGTTCTGAGTTCTCATGGAACCTCCGCCTAACCTCCGGACCACTGAGCGGGGTTCGAATCTTGCGGAGTGTAGGAGTTGGGGATGCGCACTACTGATGTATAGCCCTATATCAGGATGAAACGGTTATCTCTCAGTGCTTCCAGGCTTCTGTTGATGGTCTAAAAAACAATAATCTCCATAAGCCTAATTTGAATAGAGAAATAAGAAGACATTTTGTGAGATAGTACCATTTCGTACTTTCTCGTCAGTCACATACAAGCAACATGTTATTTGTGTAAATATAGTTTTGAAGATAAGGTCAAAATTTCTTATTTAGCATGACATTCACTCACTAGAACCATGGTAAACAAAGGTCAACATACAGTTGTTTTTGAACACATAACGTTGAACTTTTCCGACCAATCAAAATAGCTTCGAGTAGTTTCAGTGTGTGTGGGCTTTGATGACATGTCACAACTCTATAAAGGCTGATTTTGGGTCAATTTGATGACCACTCATCATTAGATGTTTTGCAATGGACGAGGCTGGGTTTCTTGATCGATTTTGAAATGATGGGCTAGGTTGATGAATCATGGATTTGATTAGCCATTTTGGAATATGTTCTCCTATCCTGTCTTCCAATCGGCGATCTGTCCTCCCTAAGTAACTTTCTCCGCAGTTATATGTGAATTGGTAAATACAGGGAACCACTGTTTTGAATAAGCCTAATTGCAAAATCGTAAAATGTGCTCGCTAGTGACTAGCTTCATGGGGAAATTTCGGGAGTTCTAGTGAGAAGACGAGACCAATGGAGTTCAACCCTGTCGGATGCAGGCAGTAACTATCGAAGACAAACGGATGAGGTCGCACAAAATCCCTAGATCAATGAGAGTTAGACATTAAAACCATCGGATGCCGGTCAAGAGGTTAGCTGTTTGCGTGCAAAACCGAAGGTACCGGGTTCGAATCCTGCGACGTGCAGGAGTCGTGGATGCGCACTACTGATGTGTAATCCCATACCAGGACGAAATGGCCGTCTCTCAGTGATTACAGGTTTCTAATGATGGTCTAACAATGATTGATTCATGAGTTTATAATATGTTCTGAGTTCTTGTAGAATAAAATATTTGGTTTTAGCTAGTATGAAATCGGATTTACTTACTCCTGTTGTCTGTTGTGGAGCAGAGGCTACTGACCAAGATTTATTGTGGGCTCTCATACCAATTGTTTCTAAGTACTATTTTTTCTTTTACTATCTGTTGACCCATTACCTGCGCAGTGTGTTCTCCAGTTAGCTACTATTTTTTCGATCCTGAGGATTCAAGGTTAGGATTCATCTTCGTTACACAGTCTGATAATTTCTGCATTGTGTTCCCTATCCACCTTGAGTGTTTTTCCTTAATTCCTTCGTCATCTGGTAGCTGGTTTATTCTGTATCACAGTAGTTTATAACTGACGGATAACATTTGTACTCCGAGTATCAAGAAAAAAATAGACACCATTTATTTGAGTGTATTTTAAAAGTTGCTTACATAATATTTTGAATAGAAGCGAATCAGAAATGAATCGTGGATCAATAGAATAAAACCTGTTATTTTTTAAAAATATATTCAGTTGTCATAATAAATTTGAAGAAATCATAAATAAACATTTGAAGCGTATAAAATGTCAATTCATTCGATTTGTGTCATTTGAGATTTTCTGGTTGAAAAATCAAAATGATCCTGGAAACAGTGACATATTTATAAATAATGAAAGGGGATTAGCATAGAACGTGGGTGTGTATCATGATGAAGGAAAATTATCAATGAATTTATTTAAAGTCATAAAAAGTAGGTTAAAGATTTTTTTTAAGTGTGGGAGGGAAAATTCTAGATCATCGAACTATAAGATTAGAAGTTGAAGAGTTAACCAGCTTTAGCTGGTTGCGTAATAAAGTAACTGAAATGAGATTAATGGTAATAAAGAATATTTTGGGGCACAGTTTTGGAGGTTTGCGTTTTTACAAATTTGAAATCATCAATCAATCATTCTTAGACCAGATTTAGAAACCTGGAAGCACTGGACGGCCGTTTCGTCCTAGTATGGGACTCCGGCCCAGTGGTCCGATGGTAAGGCGTTCGCCTACAATGCCAAAGGTCCCGGGTTCGAATCCTGCCAGGAGCAGGAGTCGTGGATGCGCACTGCTGATGAGTCCCATACTAGGACGAAATGGCCGTCCAGTGCTTCCAGGTTTCTAATGGTGGTCTAACAATGATTGATTGATGATTTCAATTGTGTAATAATGAATAGAAATATAAGTTGAAATCAGTCAGTTAGAAGGGTCCACGAGACAATAGTAACCGACAGTCAGAGACTTTGAAGGACATAGCTGAAAATCGTTTGGAATGGCGTTGGTGCATTCATTGTTTGAGTTTTCTCGAATCTTCATCTTCTGAATCCTTCATCTCACCTTTGTCTTTCTTTGTTTTGGTCTATTTCACTGGATTATACTTCTTGAATAATGTCTTCGAACCTTAATCTTCTCCACTGCCACTAATACTTCTACGATCTCTGCTATAATGAGGTTTGAATTGACAATTGCGTCTGTGTGATAATATGGTATGGCAGCCTGAACTAGTGTACTTACGTACGAAGTTCTACGTTGTAACTGACTGACTGATAGCCAGTTAAAAGTGAAGCTTATGAATTCCAAAAAAATGATGTCACCAAAGTATGAGAAGGAGTTAAATGCAATAGAATGGATGTGACATTACAAGGACAAAGAAGCATTTGTCACTGTTACTTTTCAGACACATAAATTTGGTTTCAGATGTTTGATGGCTTCAACCTCAGCAAATTCAAGAAGATACGGACTAGATTGTATATTAATCATCTTGAAAGACTTCATTGTATCCACCCGATGTTCAGTAACAAGGAGATGTGTCGAAATCACACTGCTAAATGTCTTTAATTCACGTAAACTTGGATTTCTTGGAATATGTACAGATGTAGGCGCTTCTTCCTGTTCTACCAATGTAACTACTTTGATACTTACATATGGATTTGTAAACGTAGTTAGTAGTAACATGAAAGGAATGCCTATGGACCATTGATTGTATTCAAGAACATGTTGTTTCGAACAAACAATCAATTCAGTCTTATAACATGTTCTTTTCAATGAAGTAGGCAGTCATAGGTTGATTGTTTCATTGATACGGCTATCTTTACATTTGGGTTAGATAGAAATAGGATTTTCATTTACTGATAGTTTATAAGTATCATTATCGAGGTTTGATTTGATAATTTCACATCAATTGAAGATTAGGTGGATTGTCAGTAATAAAATCGATGTATTTATGGCATCTCAATGAGTAGAAAACGCAAGATTTTTTTCTATGATGTTTCACGACTCAGTGTAAACTACTTTTTTGGGGAATAAATATACAGATTCAATAACTCACTTGCTTACGTGCGCCTTTACCCGAATAAAGAATAGGTTACCGAACACCGTTCTCCCACGTCTCTCCCAATCCTTCCTTTCCAATTTTACACAACTGATGTTTATTATTTTCATGTCTGTCTCTGATTTTCGGTGTAGTGTGTTCTTTGGCATTGGAAATTCCAAAAGAGGTCTTGTTTTGTGACACGGCTGGATGATTTTCTTAATATTTGTCTTAACAACTTACAGTGCTCCTTCTGATTTCTTACTCTGCTGGAATCTAGTTTGCTCTCTTCCTCACCAGGTCGTTACTGATGGTGTCTGGCCAATGGATGAGTAGTATTTTGCGTAGGCAACTGTTAAAAAACACCTGAATTTTTCTGGATCGTGGCTTTTGTATTTCTTCAGGTTTCCATTCCATGCAGTAGAACTATCTTGACATTTGTATTGAAAAGCGTGGCAGTTGTTTTGAGTTCCAGATGTTCCTCAGCTGTCGAAATGCTGCCCTTGCTTTGTGAATACGTATTTTACATCGATATCAGATAGTTCTTGTTTATCAATAATGTTACCCAGTTATGTGAAAGTGTCCACATTTTGTAAAGCTTCCCCGTCAAGTGTGATTTGGTTGGTGCAAATTGTACTGTATCGTAGGATCTTGCTTTTTACTTTGTGTTATACATATATATATATATATATATATATATATATATATATATATATATATATATATATATACACTTCGTTGAATTCGTGAACCGATCAGTGTTACACCACCATTAGAAATCTGGAAGCACTAGATGGCCGTTTCGTTTACTGTGCACTAATTACTCCGCAAGCCAGAACCCAACACAAGACCTTCGATCTTACACTCGAACGCTTGACCTCTTGACCACTAAATTGGTATTCAACTTCCATTAGTTCACGATATTACGTGATCAGCATCATCTAACGTTGAAAGTTTCATGCTTCCAATCAAACTCAACAATCTTCACAACTCTATACTCATTTCATCATCCACCCGTTATCAGTTTCCAGAACATACATAGGCAGACATACCAGTCCTCAACTATTGTAAAACTAAACTTACGGGAGAATTTGACTTTATCGATTGACAAACTTTATGACACTGTCTGCAATCGATAAACATACCAAGAAATAACATTATCAGCAACCTTGTACAGAATTTCAACTCGATTACTACTGATCGATTCAAACCATATGGTGAACTAGCACACTGAATTCATCAATCAGTCATTCTCAGACCACCATTAGGAACCTGTAAGCACTGAACGGCCGTTTCGTCATGGTATGGGACTCTTCAGTAGTGGAACTTAGGACCTTCACTCTTATGCGCGAACGCCTTACCTCCTAACCACTGGGCCGGTATCCAAAGGTGTTAATGCTTACTCTAATTGATTTAGAGATTGTGCGTGAACTCACCCATTTGTTTTTTTATAGTTACTGTTTACATCCGACAGGATTGAACTCCGCTGCAGATGAGTCCCATACCAGGACGAAACGGCTGTCTTTCAGTGCTTACAGGTTTCTAATGATGGTCTAACATTGATCGATTCATGATTTCAATGTGTATAAAACACTAGCTGAAAAATTATGGTGAACTGTCATTGTAAATGATTATAGCTCAGCCGTTTCAATCGATTTAGTAGTCGGAAGACTGAGGCAGGCGAGGAAGATTGTGTTATGCAAATTTACATTCTGACTCAGTTAGAAACGAAAACATTACATTGAACACTCTATTTGCACACCATCTTTGAGTCGTGACTTCCAACGCTCCATCCTTCTTCCATTCCTGTTGTTGCTTCCTTTCCTTCCTGTTGTTGGTACTCCATTTACTTCTTGCTTTTGCTCCATTTGCTTTCCCTTTTTCCTCTTCTGACCGTGAGACTTCTTCTTTCACGTCCACTTCTTATACTACTTATATCGTTCGTATAAGTAGCACACACCACAGTAGGTTAGAGTCTACGATGAAATTTTTCTCTCTGTGTGAGAACTTGAAGTGACACCGATAGATGTATGCATCATTCAACTAGCTAACGGACTGGTAGCCTTATTTTTACTTATTCATTATGGTATTTTTCTCTCTCAATTATTGTATATTGCTGAAAAGTAGAGACTTCACTACTAATTCTTCGAATGATATATTCATCAATTTCAATCATTAATTTTAACATGGTTGATTGATCTATCGTTAACATCCCCCTAACAAAATAAACAATGAATGTTGTTTTGTTTACAATACTCCGCAAAATCAATAATGTTCTCGCTGATACAACCAACTTGCATTTGAGTTAATGTGTAGTAAGTACATTTGCATGTGTGTGTGTAGTGTGCGAAGGTAGGTGTAGAGGTGTATGTGTGTGTATAGGACATGACATGACATACATGTATGGTGTGTGAGAACGAGTAAACGTAGGTTACTTATGAAATGTAATCTCGTTTAAATGCATGCAGTAAAATCAATCAATAATCACATAGTTGAAATTTTGTTTTTGATGAGATATTGATCATTGAAGCAAATGATGTGTGTCATAAATATGATGTACATTTAAACAAATGTAATTCAGTGGATTTTAAATGGTAAACAGGATCCTGAATGGCTAATTCAGCTGATTTAGGACTTATCAGTTGCATGTCACTACTACATTATAATCTTAGTGTTTACTTTAGAACTTGAACTTAGTATTCTCCGATTCAAACACCCTATAAGCAATGCTGTCGTTAGGAAACGAGTTCTAGGTAGGGATGGCAAATCAATAGATGGATTAGTGAAACTTCATTAGTTGAGGTGGTTGGGACATGTGTTATGTATGGCTAACCACCAACTGCCTCGTCGAGTTATGTTTTGTGGTGTAGAAATAAGTTGGAAGAAACCGTGGGAGCGGCCAAACCCAAAACATGGCAGAAATCCATAAAATCACTGACAAGTGAACTGAGTCATGTTGGTAGATGTAGGCTACCTGGTTGGGTTCCGCGAGACGAAAGTCACCGATGGTTAGAGACCTTGAACGACATGGCTCAAAATCGTTTGCAATGGCGCAGGTGCATCCACTCTTTGTGTTCTCTCAAACTCTAACCTTCTGAATTCCTCATCACCTCTATCTTTCTCTTCCTAAATTTATCTCACTGAATTATACTTCTCGAATCATATCTTCGAACCCTAATATTCTCCATTACCGATAATACTTCTACTCTTTGATTTGAACTGACAGTTACGTCTCTGTGCTGATGTGGTATGGCAACCTGAACTGATGTACTTACGTACAAAGTTCTGAGTTGTATCTGTCTGTCTGAAGAAGAATTATTAAGGTTATTACTGTCGAACGAAGATTAAGGTAAATAGTTACTTACTTACTTACTTACTTACTTACTCACTCACTTGGTAACTCAGTCACTTACTTACTTGGTTACTTACGTACTGCTGTTTGAGATTCGCTAACCCCATGTTTAGCCCTGGTATTGAATCTGCGTAAAATATCTTCCGAAATGTTCTAACGAATATTGAATAGGTGATTACTGGTCTGGTATTCTTCCTCTTCGGTGGGAACAAGCTAGTATTAGGTCATCCTTCAAGTGTAAAATTGCAAGTCTTTCCTCCTTGCTGTATATTGGTTAGTGTAAGGAGAATAACAAATATATTAAGGCTTTGGTTGATCGACAGTAAATTATATAAATGTCAAATGAATTAAGTTTGCTTCAGAGTGTTAACATTTATTTCTCGTTGTTTTGATTTTTTGATTGATTAATTTAGAAAGAACTTTACGTGGGAAAGTATTCTATAAAGATCAAGATAAAATTTATTGTGAAGAAGATTATCTGGTAAGAATTTAAATATTTTTATTTTAAACAAACAAACGATACAATCAAATTATGCGATTAACCTTGAATGGCTTGTCGACCAATCAGAAAACAGCGTTCACTTATGAAAACAAAGCAGTTATGTTCAATAATGAAACATAAGGGAATGAAGAGTTATGATATGATAAATGAACTGAAATCAACTATAAGGCAAAAATATTTTGTAGTCATATAAATAACTATAATTCATAAGTGAAATTTTACAAAACTCTCTCCTGAATTCATCCGTCAAGTATGGTATACCTTAAAAACTTTCAGATTTATTCGAAACATCCACAAGCCCAAATAATATGTTATCATTTTCAGAAATATCTATTTGACAATATTATAAATTTCCCCTCAATTTTATTTACAAGAAAATTGATCAAGTTCTTTGTTATTAATGTTAATACGTTCTGGGATAAGTCTGAACGTTAGTTACAACCTAAGCATTAGTATGAGACTCTTCAGCAGTTCATATTCACGACCTTCGGATACGCGAATCTAACTCACGACTTTCTGTTCAGAACGCAAACGATTACGCTGAATTAAGACCACTGACTTGGCGGGAGGGGCAGTCGATATGCATTGATGAGGTGTGGCATATTTGGATGAAGTGGTTTCAACTATGAAAATAATTCAATCTCTACAATCTTTCTCTTCATTAAAACTGTATTCAATACATATATTTCAACTGATAAGATTGAATTTATCGGTCAAGTTTATGAGAGATGTGTTTTCATTTGCAAAGTGATTGTTAATTTACACATTCAAAATCATGAATCGATCAGTGTTAGACCACCATCAGAAACCTGGAAGCCCTAATAGACGGCCCTTTCGTCCTGGTATGGGACTCACCATTAGATACCGACTTGGTGATCCAGAGGTTAGGTGTTCGCGCGCAAGAGTCGTGGATACACACTGCTGCTGATTCGCATATCAGGACGAAACGGCCGTCTTTCAGTGCTTCCATGTTCCTAATGATGGTCTAACATTATTCGATTCATGGTTTCAAATGTGTAAAGTATTATACTGTTAAAAATATATAATTATAACTTTTTGTGATGATAGTTTAAATAACCTGAGCATAAAATGAAATCATCGCACATTATACGGAGTTCGTGAGATGGATTAAACTGCAAAATCGTGCATGGAGTATAGCTCAAAGACTCTTTTGAAGTAAAGACCGGTATCACGTAAGGTTGCTTATTGTCACTCTTCCTCTTTCTCCTGGTAATCAACTGGATTATGAAGACGTCAACATCTCAGGGAAAGCGTGGGATATAGTGGATAGTTAGTATGTAGCTAGACGATCTAGACTTCGTAGATTATCTGACTCTTCTATCGTACAAGCAACAACAAATGCAAGAGAATAAGACCAGGGTAGCAGTGGACTGTGCGGCAATAGGTCTCAACATACACAATTGGAATACCAAGATTCTGCGATACAATACAAAATGTACCAACTAAATCACACTTGATAGATAAGTTTTGGAGGATGTAGAAACCTTTATATTTCTGAGCAGCATCATCGATGAGCGGCAAAACAAGGGCAGTATTCCTTAAATTGAAGAACCTCTGGATCTCAAAACAGTTATCAACCAACATGAAAGTCAGAATTTTCAATATCAATGTGAAGACAGTTCTACTGTATGGAGCGGAAAGATATTTGTTTATTAACAGTCACTCCGCATCCCTTGACCAGATACTATCAACAGCGACCTACTGTGGGAGAGAACAAACTAAATTCCAGTGGAACAAAAAATTAGGAAGAATCGCTGGAAGTGGATAGGAGATACATTGAGGAAATTACCCAATTGAGTCACATGGCAAGCTGTAACTCTGGATCCTCAGGGTCAGAAGAAAATGGAAGACCAAAAGACACACTTCGCCGAGAAACAGAAACAGACATGATTTAGAATGAACATTAATTGGACAGAACTGGAAAGGAAAGTTCAGGAAAGAGTACGTTTGAAAATGCTAGTCAGCTGCTCATGCTTTATTGAGGGTAACAGGCGTAAGTAGGTAAGTACGTACGTAAGTGTTAATCATTATTACATAAGAGATGTAGTTTGAAGTCTTGGCGAACACAAATCCATAATTAGTCAAATAAATATTTGAATTTTTATTAAAAATTTTTGTTTTTTAGTACTGTGGATTTCAACAAACAGTAGAGAAATGCTTCGCTTGTGGACATATTATTGCTGAAACAGTAAGTTTGAATGATTGTTTGACAGTCTTGTTGATAGCCGTCTGTCTATCTATCTATCTATCTATCTATTCACACATCTATCTACTTATTTAGGTTCTGTTGATAAGTTAGTTTTGCATTACGGGGTTGTGAAGATTGTTAAGTTACACATTTTCGAAACCATATATAGATCAATGTTAGACAACCATTTGAAACCTCAATGCACTGGACGGCCGTCAAGTCCTGGTATGGGACTCCTCAACATTGCTCACCCACGACTCCTGCACCCCGCAGGATTCGAACCCAGGACCTTCGGTATTGTGCGCGAACGCCCAACCTTTGAACCACTGAGTCGATATCTAACGGTGTTAATGTCTAACTTGATCAATTCACCGAGTTGCGTGACCAGTGAAGTTCAACCTGTTCGGGTGTAGACAGTGTCTACCGAAGACTGTGTTTGAGGTTGCGCAACTCCGTGAATTTGATCAAGTTAGACATTAACACCGTTAGATACCGGCTCAGTGGTCTGACGGTTAGGGCGTTCGCGCGCAATACCGAAGGTCCTGGGTTCGAATCCTGCGGGGTGCAGGAGTCGTGGGTGAGCAGTGTCGAGGAGTCCCATACTAGGGCGAAACAGTCGTCCAGTGATTCCAGGTTTCTAATGGTGGTCTAACATTGATCGATTCATGGTTTCAAAAAAGTTAGTTTTATTCTCCTCATAGGCTCATTACAAAATGATCAAGTCGAATTTCGCTTAGAACTAAAGCGCAGCAGCGCATACTACAATCATTATTCACTACTCTAATTTTTACACTAGTTTTAATCCAGCTGTAAACATATCATTTTAATCGATTGTATTGATCGTTAAAAGTATCATATCGGTTTATCGATTGGGTGAATCATCAAGAGTATGTGGTATTGATTGATTATAATAAAGCGTACGTTGCTTGCAATCAGGATAAAATTTATATCCATGTACGCACTGTAATGTTTCGTGTAAACTATTGAATATTGAACAGAAGAGGGTTTAACGTAACTTAAACTTTAAACTTTTGCTATTCAGGCTATATGACACAGTTATCCTTTTTTGTATTTCGCTGAATTCAAATTTATTTGGTTGTGTGAAAATGGAGGGAAGTCTTATCCTTCGTCTTCTTTTACCGAGAGTTTCGTTACGGATTTGACAGGATGAAAGGTGAAAGTCTGGTCGTAGCTTTAATCTTGCTAGTGAATAAAAAGGATCCACTCAGGAAAGTTGGAAAATCTTGATTACCAACCGGTGGTGCACATGATCACTCTTGATGGAGATGCCATGGAGGATGTTACAACCTTTGCATGTCTGTGCAGCATCATCGACAATCAAGGTGGATCCAATGAAGATGTAAAGGCACGGGTCTGCAAAGCAAGGGCTGTATTTCTACAACTGAAGAACATCTGGAACTCAAAGCAACTGTCAGTCAACACAATAAAGTCAGAATCTTCAATACAAATGTAAAGACAGTTCTACTATATGGAACGGAAACTTGGAGAACTACGAAAGTCATCATCCAGAAGATTCAAGAATTCATTAACAGTTGTCTACGCAAAATACTTCAGATCCGTTGGCCAGACACCATCAGCAACAATCTGTTGTGGGAAAGAACAAACCAGAATCCAGTGGAGGAGGAAATCAGGAAGAAGCACTGGAACGGGGTAGGACACACAGTACAAAAAGCACCCAACTACGTCACGAAACAAGCCCTCACTTGGAACCCTCAAGGTAAAAGGAAGAGAGGAAGGCCACGGAGCACATTACGCCGGGAAATGGAGGTAGGCATAAGAAGAATAAACAAAAATTGGACAGAACTAGAAACTAAAGTTCTGGACGGAGTATATAGGAGAATACTGGTCGGCAGCTTATGCTCCATTGGGGGTGACAGGCGTAAGTAAGTAAGTAAGGTTCACATGAGCTATAGGGTCCTGAGAGAATAAATCATGTATAAACCTATTGTTGGTCACCAGCTACCATGGGACTGCATCTCCTTATGTTGTTCCACTGCTTTGTGGATTGAGTCTGTTTGTCAAAAGCAGTGACACCTGTGTAAATCTACCTGATTCCGTGCGGACGCATGTACTGTATCTCAGTTATTCTTGTGATGTATAAGTGTTTAGGCGCCCTTTTGTACCAGTAATTATTGACTTCAACACAAAAAATATGCCGTAACGAAATGTTGTAAATATTGTATTTGATAATATGTGCTTGTCATTGGTGTGTACCGTCTCTTTGCTTTTTCATTATCGACTTACGGTGATTATTGCATTTCGTTGGAATTATGAATCAATCTATGTTTGACCATCATTCGAAACCTGGAATTTTCGTGGAAAAAATATTCTCGGAGTTCTAATTACAAGCGATAACCAGTGGAGTTGAAACCTTGTTAGGTGTAAGGCAGTTGCTTACCGAAGACAATTAGTGAGATTGTACAATACCTTGGAATAGACTCAATTTAGACATGAACACTGTTGTATGCTGGCTCAGTAGTCTACAGTTGAAGCATTGGATCACAAGATCATAGGTCCTAGTTTCGATTCCCCTATACTACTAATAAGTCCCATACATTAGGACATAACAGCCATCAGGTTTCTTTCTAATGATGGTTTAACATTTCAATGTTTGCCTTTTATTGTCATTATTGTTGTTACTAATTAATTCTCCCGCTCTTTTCTTTTTGTTTTGATTTCAAACAAAAACCAAACAAAACCATTGGACAATTTGAATATATAGATTCTTTTAGCTAATGGCAATACCTACCATCCAGGATGTTTTCGATGTTGTATTTGTACAAAATGTTTAGATGGGATTCCATTCACTATTGATTCAAATAATTTAATTTATTGTTTAACTGATTATCATTTAATTCATGGACCATTATGTTCTGTTTGTGGATTAGTGATTATGCCGGATGAGGTTAGTTAATGTGTGTTTATCAGTTGATAATGATAATTATGCTTACTTACTATTATGCCTGCACAGAAACACGTCAACTTGATAATACTTGAACTATGACGAGTTTACCTTAGTCGGGAAAATGAGAGCGATGATCGAAGATCCGGTGACACGACATGCTACTCAAATCCAATTATCCCAGCCCCGCCATATTGAGTAAAAATAAGAAGACTTGATATGAAGTAGAACCTGTATTCTACAAGCATTCAGAAAGTACTCGGTCCGAGTCCAGAAGAGAATCAGGATTCCAGACTAAGGATCCGGTTTCGAGTCTGGTTCGTAAAACGTTACAGATAATGCATATTTATACATTTTGGTCGAATAGGAAACAGCATCGAAGTCTGTGACATTGACAGTTAAGGCGACCAATAGAGGAGAACATTTGAAGTGACACTGACAGTCAGGATGACCAATAAGGAACAACATTGGAGCACGTGACATTGATATCTAGGACGAGAATAAAATTGACCAGTACGAATTAACCAATAGGAATTGACCAGTAATTCTCTTAGGATATTGGATGAATATCCTAACACTTACTTAATGACTTATGCTTGTTAGCTGTAAGGTAGCATAGGCTGCTTGACTGGCATTCTCTAACCTACTTTGTTCTGGGTGATTCCCTCCAGTTCTACATCATGACTGTTCATTCTTTTCATGTTTTTTTTTCGATTCTGTTATACATGTCAATCGAAATGCTTGAATGCTGCTACGAGTTCATCTTAGTCGGTAAACGAGAGCTAAGACAATGATCCAGTGAAACTATAGACTACTCTAATCCCCCCCCCCCGATAGGTAGATGAAGAAGTCTTGCTATGGCATAGAAAGTGTATTCTACAAGCACCCAGAAAATAGATGTTTTGTACGGAAGAGGAGAGGAGCATAACATTTTACAGACAATCCATATTTATGCAATTAGGTTGACTGTGAATAGTAACCAATAGGAAACAACATTTAAACGCATGTGAACTTGACAGTTTAGGACGACCCTAAATATTGACCAATAGAATTAGACTTACCAAATGATTTCTTCAGGATATTTGATGAATATCCTAACAGATTCTCAGTATAATCTGTTCTTTGGTCTTCATCTTTTCTTTTGACCTTGAGGATTCCAAGTGGAGGCTTGTCTTGTGAAGCCTGCAGCCCCCTATAGGGTTACTATTGGTGCTAAGCCCGGATAAGGGAGGAGGGCTAAGTATGGGATTTAGAGACCTTATCCTATTGAAGACCAACTCACCAGAGAAAACAATTTAATCTATTTAAACTCTCCCCTTAGAGTTTGAAGGTATTTATTCATAGGAGTTACCGCATGTAATCATGAAAGCCAAATTTATTCGGAAATCACTAAACCAATCATATCGTTACTTAAAATGTTCGTGCATTGTACGAGACTGGGATAGTGATTCAAGTGCGCTGATGGTACTTGGGATCAGTGAAATACATGAGATGCAGGTTGGACTATGACAGCTATTCAGATTACAATTCAATCGTCTGCATCTATCTACAACGTTTAATTCATGAATTGACTTAATCTATTGGTTTGGTTTATTCCAACTTTCTTTCACCCTATACTCTGATCCATTTAACGCTATGCATCCAATTAGACACTGGCTGGACTATTCATTTGACTTGTTCTAATCAATTCAGTCATTGAAAACTAACTTCTGATGGCTAGTCACAGAATTACACCCATTCGATTATACCGACATGTAACAACATAATATTTTCAATGAATTTCTTATCAAACAATGAGTTTAAGCTAGAAAATATTTTCTGTTTTTCGTTTATAAAAGATCCTATCTCATAACGATAGTTAAGAGAACATAACAAATTATTTTACGATATACTTATTCTTGGATGAATATTTCACCGAATACCACCGACCAGCATCTGGCAGCCAACTCTGTCCTGGGCGATTCTTTTCATTTCTGCCCAATTACTGTTGATTCTTCTATATGTCTGTCTCCAAAACTCGACACAGTATGCTCCTTGGTTTATCCAATTGCGAGTGCATGCATATCAACGCGTTGGTTTGATATGCTTGAACTATAGTCAGTTTACCTTAGTCGGTAAACGAGAACGAGAATCGACGATCCGGCGATACGATAGGCTACTCTAGTCTCAGCGTCCTGAACCCCCATTATATAGAAGAAGAAGACAGGTATTCTACAGACATCCAGAAAGTACGAGGTCCGAGTATAGAAGACAATCAGGATCCCGGACTGGGGATCCGGGTAAGAAAATGTTACAGATAATGCATACTTATACAGTTAGGTCAAATAGGGAACAACAATGAAGTATGTGACATTGATAGTTAGGACGACCAATAGGAACTGACCAATCGAATTAGACTTACAAATAATTCTCTTAGGATATTGGATGAATATCCTAACATATCACTTTTTGTTTGGCCTTGAAGATTCCAGCCTAGCGTTTGCCTTCTGATGCAGTTGAATGATTTCCGCAATACGTATCCGATCCATCCCTAGCATTACTTCTTAATTTGTTCCTTAGATAGAGTAATCTTGTTTGTTCTCTTTAGTAGTAGGTTGTGAATGAAAGTGTTTGACCGACGGATTCTTAATATCTAGCGTAGACAGTAGAACTATTTTGAAGTATATCCTGAAAATTGTGACTTTAGTGTCACGTTGATGGTTGTTTTGAGTTGCAGATGTTATTCAATTGTAAAAATACTTCTCTTACTTTGCTAATTCGTGTCTTTACATCTGCATCAGATCCACCTTTTCCTAAAATCAATATTGTCGCCTATGAATGTAAAAGTGTCCACATCCTGCAAAGCTTTTGCATCAAGTGTTGATTTGGTTGACACATATATTGAGCTACACATTCCTGAAACCATGAATCGACCAATGTTAGACCACCATTAGAAACCTGGAATCACTGGACGGCCGTCAGGTCCTGGTATGGGACTCCTCAACAATGCGCATCCACGACTCCTGCACCCCACCGGATTCGAACCCAGGACCTTCGGTATTGTGCGCAAACGCCCTAACCGTTAGACCACTGAGCCGGTATCTAACGGTGTTAATGTCTAACTTGATCAAATTCACGGAGTTGCATGATGAGTGAAGTTCAACCTGTTCGGGTGTAGGCAGTGTCTACCGAAGACTGTGTATGAGGTTGTGCAACTCCGTGAATTTGATCAAGTTAGACATTAACACCGTTAGATACCGGCTCAGTGGTCTAATGGTTAGGGCGTTGGCGCATAATACCGAAGACCCTGGATTCGAATCCGGTGGGGTGCAGGAGTCGTGGATGCGCATTGTTGAGGAGTCCCATACCAGGACCTGACGGCCGTCCAGTGATTCCAGGTTTCTAATGGTGGTCTAACATTGGTCGATTCATGGTTTCAAAAATCTGTAACTTAACAATCTTCACAACCCCGTAATGCATATGTTGAGTAGTACTAGAAGATGTTGCTTCTTGGGTTGTGTCTGTTGAGACGAACTACTGCAGAGGCAACCGCCATCACACTGGCTGTCTTCTTCATGAATTTGGATTGATAGACTAAGAAAAATTTATATCATCATTTGTTTAAAATTAAACACATTTTTATCAATGAATCTTTTTATAACTAAATTAATGAAAAGTGAATGAGTTTACATGGAATAATTTTTGCATTGATTAGATGTGTCAGCCAAAAAAAGTTATCATAATTGGTGTGAGCTTTAAATATCAAATTGCCATTTAGTATGATTGTCATTTCGGTTCACGATGATCATAGTAATAATAATAAGAAGAATGGACTGAGCAAATGTCAATCAATATTCAGGAATGTCAAAATACTTTACAACTAACTATATTGAACACATAAACAATGATTCATTCTATAAATCATATCGAGTCAGACAGAAATACGCAGAACAAAATGAAGCCATATTGATTTCTGAAGTTTTGATTGTCAACCGTACTTAACCAAGGTGGTCTAAACTGATTTGCTTTTCTGAATGATGCACTGAAGTAACTAAACACTTGACAATGAATAGTAGTAATAACTTTTCCTATCTATTTAGAAATCATTGAACTGTAAGGAAAAAAAGGCGGAAAATGTGAACCAGCTATTTTCTTATACTTAGTATTGTCGGACACTAATTCAGTTGAGACGTTCTCCGAAAATTAGAACACGGTTGAATAAGAACTAGATTCATATTCCAATGACAAGGTTAGTTGGAAGTTAGCGAAGTTCAAAATGTTAGTATATTGATAGTGTTCTTACATGAGAAGATTCTAGAATGTTCCCTCAGTATTGGCTAGCGCTGATTGGTTACGAAAGAGCCAGTCAGCGTGCAATAACGCAATCATGCGTTCATCCAATCTTTGTCCTACTAACAGTCTATGGGTTGCTTTCAAATCATGGTATTTTCTAAAAAGGAAGTTGAATCACTAGATTTCCAGTTTTTCGGATGATCCTGTTTATCTAGAACCTTCTGAGAAGTTTCTATCAACCAGTGAGTGATAAGGTGACATAGTTCTGCAAACTTTTCTCAAGTTCTGAAAATATTTTGAAAGAATAATAGAGGCTTCTCAAACACTAAAGGTGCAAAAACACAAACCTTCCAAAAACTCTGCGCGAAAATATCGTGACAGTGCTCACTAGTGACTAGCTTCGTGAGGAAATTCTCGGAGTTCTAGTTGAGAAGACGTGACCAATGGAGTTCAACCCTTGTCGGGTGTAGGCAGTAACTACCAAAGACAAATGGGTGAGGTCGCGCAAAATCCCTAGATCAATCAGAGTTAGACGTTAACACCGTTGGATGCCGGCTCAGTGGTCCGATGGTTAGGCGTTCGCGCACAATACCGAAGGTCCTGGGTTCGAATCCTGCGAGGTGCAGGAGTCTTGGATGTGCACTGCTGATGAGTCCCATACCAGGACGAAACGACCGTCCAGTGCTTCCAGGTTTCTAATGGTGGTCGAACATTGGGTGATTGATGATTTCAAATGTGTATTAAGTTTTTTCTTTTTAGAAAAAATATGATTCACTTTTTCATAAAAATTATTGAGGATTGATAATGTTTGATCTGGAAAAAACTATTCAGCTAGTGGGAAAAACACCACATTTGAAGCTAAATTTCAACTTGATACCATTTTCTAAGCTTATTCGCATCAGCGAATTGCATATTTAGTTGGTGAATTGTCACGTAAAAATTACCGATAGATGTGTACACAAGATTGACGATTATTCAGACAATGCGTTTTAATAATGTGCTCGCTAGTGACTAGCTTCATGTGGAAATTCTTGCAGTTCTAGTAAGAAGACGTGACCAATCGAATTCAACCATGTCGAGTATGAGCAGTAACTTTTGGGGACGATCGGTGAGGTTGCACAAAAATCCTTAAATTGCACAGAGTTAGACATTCACACCAGTGGATACCACTGGTTCAGTGATTCGGAGTTTAGGCGTTCACGCATAAGATCAAAGGTCCTGAGTTCAAACCCACGAGTAGCTAGAGTGCTGGGTACGCACTGCTACTGATAAGTCCCATACCCGGACGAAATGTTCGTCTTTCAGTATTTCCAAGTTTCCAATGTGTGGTCTAACAATGTGTTAGGATATTCACTAAATATTCTATGAAGAATCATTTTGTAAGTGTAAATTCTATTGGTCGATTCCTATTGGTCAATATTATGATCGTTCTAGCTATCAATGTCACGTACTTCAATGTTGTTTCATGTCGTCCTGACTATCAATCTCACTTCAAATATATTTTCCTATAGGTCGCCTTAACTATCAATGTTACAGACTTCGATATTGTTTCCTATTCGACCTAAATGTATAAATACGCATTATTCCTAGTCTGGGATCCTGATAATCTCTTGGACCCAGACCTCGTACTTTCTGGATGCTTGTAGAATACAAGTTCTACTTCATATCAAGTCTTCTTCTTTTACTCATTGTGGAGTTGGGACAGTCGGATTGGATTAGCATGTTGTGTCGCCGGATCCTCGATTCTCGCTCTCGTTTTCCGACTAAGGAAAACTTGTAATAGTTCAAGCATATCAAATTAACATGTTTACATGTATTTGTAACACAATGATTCTTTATTCATGATTTCAATGTGTCAGTAAAAACTATAATGCAAAATTATTGATTATCTTTGTTTTGTCTTTCTGTTTTATGCCGCCCCCCTCCCAAAAAAATAACAAACACACCTAAGGGTACAAATGAAGTGAAACGAGTTGTTGCACTTGGCAAAGAGTTTCATATTGATTGTTATCGTTGTGTGGTAAGTAGTGTGACATTTGTTTGTTGTATATGTGTATATAACTTAAATTGTCTACTGATAAATAAATAAATAATAAGTAGTATTTTGATAGAACAATGAGAAAATGTAGTTGATTTGGAGGTTGTGATACATTTGCATGCTATCTACATTTTGAACTATCTGGTCACAACACACATATACACTTATCAAGTCATGTAATATGAAGGTTAGGAAAATAACTTACTTTGCTAACTTGTGACTGTTACTCTCAGTGGAGTATAGGCCGCCAACCAACATTCTACAATCTACTCCGTCCCGGGTCTTTCTTACTAGTTTTATCCAACTTTTGTTCATTCTTCTCATGTCTGTTTCCATTTCTCGGTATAATATGTTCTTTGGTCTTGAGGATTCCAAGTGAGGGCTTGTCTTGCGACGCAGTTAAGTGCTTTCTTCAATGTGCGTTGGAGTCAACTCCAGCGCTTTCTCTTAGTTTCTTGCTCATCTGTAATCTGGTTTGTTCTCTCTCACAGTATATTGTTATAGATAGTGTTTGATCAGCGGATCTGTAATATTCTGAGTAGAAAACTGTTACCAAATACTTGTAGCTTCCGGATGATGACTTGCGTAGTTCTTCAATTTTCCACCCAATACAATAGAACTGTCTTGACATTCGTATTGAAGATTTTGACTTCAGTGTTGGTTGATGTGTTGGAATTTCTCCACATATGACTTCGTAGCATGTTCTACTGATCTCAACCTTGAACTTAAAGCTTTAGTTATCTGCGCCTTTATTTTATCAAAATAAAGGTGCCGGTGATGTTGTGTTCAGGAGACAAATGAAAGTTCCACAACCAAACCAACTAGTTCAGTGAACAAAACTCCATCACAATGAATAGAAAGAGAGAGAGACAATTGACAGAGTTTAAAAGCAACAGAGAATCGTCATACCATTCTAAGCTACAAAATGGCTTCAAGATTATGTGGGTTTATTCAAGATTATGACAAATTTTTTCAGTTCATATAAAGAGAGCTTGATTTTACAAATAGCCAAGGCTTTTATAAAACTTGGGAATTCATCCTTCACCATTTCTACTATACAATGTTTTGAAAGCTGTCTTGATATCACTCCTATACACCTCGTTTCAATTATGTGTGTAATGCTATTGATGTGAACATGGTTTTCTATTTCCCACATTTATCGAGTCATTTTGTAGTGAACGAGAACACAGGTGAGGGCAACCCGATTGTATTTGACGAAAATTACAGAGCTACTCAGTAAAATCGGAAAACCATATTGTAAATCGTTAATTTGCAAAATATCAGTTCATCATATCGAACTGGACTGTTCCTGTTGCAAAACATCAACAATCCATTGTCACTATTCATGCGTTTCATACAAATCCCATTGTGTTCTAACTCTTCCTTTCTTGATCTTCCCCCTCATCTTCTACTGCCAGACATTACGTTGACACTTACGTCATATACTACTTATAAGTAGCTCGCACCACAATTTAACAATAATTGATTTCGACAGCATTTAGGAGCATATTTCATAACCCTTGATTACAAGTAAATGTGTGTGACCAGATTGTTCCAAAATGTGTAATTAATAGCGCGAATACATCATGACACTTTTTTTTCAAATCAACTACGTCTTCTCGTTATTTTAACAAAATTTATTTCAACATTGAACAGTTGTTTGAAATAAGTAATCTGAATAAAAAAAATTTTGAAATGTAATTTTTTTCTGACAAATTCTTCTTTTTGACTTCATGCATAATGAGTGAGATTTTCGTGAGTTCATAGACAATATCAACTTTAGTTTGCTCTACACAAATATTGATTGGTTGTGTTCTTAGTAAAGATTGTAAATTTAATAAGTTAGAATAATCAAAGAAACCATAGTTGCAGATGAAGTTGACTTGAAATGATGGGGAAACTTTGTAGCTGAAGTGGATGATTGTGGCGGTGTTTCGTTCTTTCTGAGCTGCTGTTGTTTTGGTTCCGGAGGTTTCAGGATTTTTCTTCTTCTGAACACAACATCATCAACAGAAACTTCAGGTGCATAAGAAGTGAAGTATTTGAATTTCTCCACGTTTGACCTCTAGCTTGTTCTGTTAACCTCGATCTTGATTGGTTGCTGTTCGTTGTAAACCTATCGTTTCATTAAGCAGCATAGTGTAACATACATAAAATTGATATTAATTAACATGTAGTGTGTCGATTTACTGCGTGTTCTAAAGCTCGGTAATTAGCTCGTCTAGAAAATCGTTACTAACTAGTGTCTAATGGTTTATAAATCAGAAGGCGAACTCGTAGTGTTCAGTACGTTTATTCGAGACACACCACAAAGCGAAGCGAAGAAGTAGTGAATAAAACGAATGAAGCGACGTGAATTGGAGAAGGCTGTTGAGCCAACTCCCAGGATTACAATGCGAACGAATGGGCGAAGGAAGCGGATGAACAGGCGAAGCGCGTTGGAGAAGGCTAATGAGCCAACTCCAAGAGATAGAGCGTGACTAAGAATATATAGTCAGACAAATATAAGACAGACATGCGACAAGCGAAATAGCAACGAATAAAAGCGACGAATAGTTGACAAGGTCAAATGACAAGCGGAACACGTCATGTGAGCTCATACAAACCAGACAATAATAAGAACGAATGGTACATATAAATTGTTGCATTACAAATGGCTTGGTTAAATAAATTAATCGAAAGGGCTTAACCAAGTTAGATGTAAGCGAACTGGAATATATGTGGAGGCACTACAAACATTTTAACTAACGTATATTATTTGCTCTAAATTCGACATGAATTCTAGCCTGTTATGTGTCCAATGCAACTGTCAGTTCGAACCCCATAGTAGTAGAGACAGTAGGAGTATTAGCAGTAATCGGCGAAGATTAGGGTTCGAAGATAGGATTCGAGAATTATAATCCAGTGAGATAAATTTAGGAAGAGAAAGATAGAGGTGATGAGGAATTCAGAAGGTTAGAGTTTGAGAGAACAAAAAAGTGGATGCATCTACGCTATTGCAAACGTTTTTGAGCCATGTCATTCAAAGTCTGTAACCATCAGTTACTATCATCTAGCAGACCCAAACCAGGTAGTCCAAATTTACCTGCATGACTCAATCCACTTGTCAGTGAATTCATGAATATGTACCATATTTCATTTTGGCCACCTCTAGCTTTCTATCAACATACTTTAACAGCGAAATAAGAAATAATGATTGTAGTTTATTGATGTTTTCGTGTATAAAAGCATAATTTACATCAATTCACCTCTTGATTGATTGATTGATTGATTTTCAGGATTGTAAACGTAATTTAAGCGATGAAGCTGATAAACGTTGTTATCCTCTCAAAGAACCAGATCCTGTAACATCTGGACGTATTATACAACGGTTATTATGTTTAAATTGTCATCTACAACGTATTGGAGCGATTCCTGCCACATCAGCTAGTGGTTGTAGTAATATAAATATTAAAAATCACAATACTACTAATATTCTTACTCCTACTACTCCTACTACTAATATCTCTGTTAGTAGTAATCATTTGAAATCAAACAATGGAAGTATAATGAGTCATCCTAATACAACATCTACCAATCATATCAGTAATACACGTTATGCAACTCTACCAAATAGACTTCATGGAATGAACAAGTTAAACACAATAACTAATCCCACTAGTACTACTACTACTACTAATAATAATAATAGTAATAGTAATAATAATCAATACATTCAACCACATCAACATCATCATTCTTCTCCTTCATCACATCATCCTAATGTCACTTCAAGTACATTATTAACACATAGTTATTCACCACGTAGTCAGTTATATACCACTGCAAATTCAAGTTTACATTATCGAAATACTACTAATAATGATAATCATAGTAATAATACTAATATTAATACTAATAATTATGCAATGAATTGGGAGAAAACACGAACCAATGGTTTACATAATCCTACCACTACTACGACAATGACGAATAATACTGGTCATAATGGTCATTATCTACACTATAATAAATCTTCCTAGGAATGAATTCAATTCTATTTGAAAATATAAACAGTATACCATCTCTGTGTTGTGTGCTGGCTGTTTCTGTGGTTGTTATTGTTGCCTATGTCTGTTGCGTCACAGTGTCGATATTATTATCCAACTTTCTAGTCGAAAATATAAATATATATACATATATACAAATACAGTTCTAATGTTTCTTACTTCTAATCACTTTTAGTTATCAATCAGCCAATTAAAATATGAAATAAGTTTACTCAACCAAAAAAAAACAATAACAATCTTGCCAAAAAATGCATTTCCAATGGTGATTCTAACCTCAATTTTTTTTTCTACATAAAGCTGAAAGTATTCAGTGCTTAAAAAAACTATTATTATTATTATTATGATTATAACTACTTGCTAACTTTAAAGTAATATTAATTTTACAACTAAAAATTCTTTCTTTTGTTGTTGTTATTGTTGTTCAAAACAGTGATTCCCTTTGATAAATTTGAATAGAGAAATATGAAGACATATTTTGTGAGATAGTAAGTACCATTTCGTGCTTTCTCATCAGTCACATACAAGCAACATGTTATTTGTGTAAATACAGTTTTGAAGATAAGGTCAAAATTTCTTATTTAGCATGACATTCACTCATTCACTAGAACCATGGTAATCAAAGGTCAACATACAGTTGTTTTTGAACACATAAAGTTGAACTTTTCCGACCAATCAAGACAGCCTCGAGTAGTTTCAGTGTATGTGGGTTTTGATTACATGTCACAACTCTAAAGGCTGATTTTGGGTCAATTTGATGACCACTCATCATTAGACGTCATGCTAAATAAGAAATTTTGACCTTACCTTCAAAACTGTATTTACTCAAATAACATGTTGCTTGTTGTATGTGACTGACGAGAAAGCACGAAATGATACTATCTCAAAAAATATGTTGTTGTTGAAAGGGGGTGGGGGAATGTATTACTTTATTGCAAGTTTGATACAGCCAGATTTCTTAATAGGTGATTATAAATAGGGAAGGTGCACGGTAGCGTTCTTGGGTAGATTTGTTTAGATCAGTAGTGAATTTGTTGGGAAAAGGCAGCTGGAATGCCCTTGAAACAAGCTGTAACCTAGACTTGGGTGCATGTTACCTAGAGGCGCCATGGATCTTACACTGTGAATAGGGTTCTGAAAAGAGAGAAAAAGTAGACAGCAACGAGGCGGTTGTATATATATATATATATATATAACGAAAGCACTGTTTAAGCTCTCATGGTGAAGTAGACAATACAGTGGTAAGTCAAGTAAAAAATTCATACTGACCACTAAAATTAAAGTAAATTATAGGAATATAAGAATATAACCCACAAACGAAGGAGTATAGAAATGAAGAAGGAAGAGTTGTAGAGAGTTTCAAGTGGATAGAGGAGGAGTTGAAGTAAGAAACCTGAGGTCTGTACGTTGAAACCAAAAGTTCAGTAAAAAGAGTGAAGTTTGTAAAAAACATTGATAATTATATTTTTTCACTGACTAGCTTTTTTAACAAATAACAACCTCTAAGTCATACCGTAAGTACCTGAGTAAGCATGTTGTGGGTTGTTTTGGAAGAATAGCGACCTTAAGCGCAGTTTTGAGTCTCAGAAGCGGCACATCGTTTCTTTCCGGATGATATTTTCTAGAATCCTAGCACGTTGGCTAGGTTCACGGGTTGAAAGATTTGTCTGGAATCTGTTTTGAAGACAGAACTTAATATATCGTTTTTCTACCTTGTTGACAATCTTTAGGTTACAGATAAAATAAAACGAAAGTTTAGGGGACTTGCGATAAAATCATATGGTTCTCTAAGTAAACTAAGATGCCTTTACCAGGTCCCATAGATTTACTGAATCGAGTTTATTAAGCAGACCATGGAAACGGATTAATTCAGTGGTAACAGTGTCCAGATTATGGATTGGGGCATTTATATAAGCCGTAGGGAAGATGGCCTCCTTGGCTTGAACACTGCTAAAGTGACATATGGAAATCGACAAAGTTTGAATATTTATTGGGTGAAATAGATATTAGCACACGCATGTACGAAAATGGTTTAGGTTAATGGGGAATAACGAAGGTATGTAAACTAGGTTTGAAAAATACTTGACTAGCTTGGAATGATTAGTCTTTCCGGATATTAAATTCAGTTTGCATATATAACTTAAGGAGTTTATGCAAGTCATAACAGGCTCAAAGTGTTGACTATCCGGTAAGAAAACTTGTCTGTTTTTAAATTTGAACTTCCACCCTATGTGCCTTGAGTTATTTATTCCTAGTTTCAATAAAAAGGAGATGTATCAAGTTGGATTGCATTTATTGTAGTATGCGTCTAAATAAGATTACTCCATACTCTTAGATAAAAGAATTAAAAAAGTTACACTCCTTAAACTACATTGTAGGATGTGAGCCTCATTATTTCGATATCACTCTGGTAGCTTAACAATTCAGTTGTTCCGGGATATCTAAGCCACTTTTTTATTATGGAAGTGAAGTCAAAGCTCACTTTTCTATTCTATGTCTCACTTGCTAAGGCCTCTTTCTTTTGTTGCAGCATAGACCACTTTCCAGTAATCTCCGATCTACTATAGCCTGAGCTCAACTTTCGAGCTGTACTCAAGTGTTATTCATTCCTTTGACATCTGCCTCCCGTCCCCCATGAACTGTGTTCTTTGACCTTCCTCTTTTTGTTTGGCCTTGAGTATTCTAATGTAGGGCCTACCTTGTGATAGAGTATATTCCTAACCTAAGAGCTGCAATTCGCGAATGGTCTTGTAGTTTAGTACGTCGTAAGGATTATTTATTATGTTAATTGTCTTCGAAAGTGGATCATAGCGTTGAAGTAGGCTCTGCAATATTTTCCAGTCCATTTTATCAAACGCTTTCTCATATTAAAGGAATTTGATGTGTAATGATGAGCTTCATTTAACTGATTATTCAACAATGATCATTGGTGTCGTTAAGAAATCAATTCTTATGTAATTCAGCCTGTTCATCTTTAAGTTGAGCGTCTACTAAATCATCCATTCGACTCAATAGCACTCTATTTAAGATTCTGACAGATTCGGATAGTTCAGTGATACCTCTGTAATTCTTGCACTCGCCTCGGCATTTTCTTGAGGTATCATTTTTTCCATTCTGTTGAAACTTGTTCTCCCTCCCAAGTCTTACTGAAAAGAAAATGGCTCATCCTTGAGGCTACCACTGTTGGATGGCCATGCCGATTTCTTTGATAGTTGGTGAGGTCACATCTACCAGAAGGTGTGCAGGTGCTACTTTGGTGGTTGGTGAGTGCAGTTGGACTGTTCTACTCGAGTGATCTTCAAGAATCTCTACCCAGTTATTACCCGTTCTTTGTCCTCGATTACTAGTTTACTTTCCTTTTTCCTGACCAGTCACCTTCGTATATGATAAATTTCAGTTATCTTCGTTTTAACATTTAATAGCCTAATATTTCCTTTTTTGTAGTTTTATCTACTACAATCGTTAGATAATTCACATATGTTCATTTTTCCACCTTCTTCTTTGTTTGTTCGTTTGCTTCTGTGGATTAAGAGTGTGACTTGGCTTATCATGCCCTCATTTGGCTGTTACCGACTCTTTTCTTCTTGATCAACTTTCCTTCAACTTTATTTAGGATATCAGCAGAGATTCGCTGACTTTGCTGGTGTTTCTAGAGGCTGAATAACTGAAATACTGAAGTCCTTACTTCATAAATCTGCTTTTAGTTCTTCTTTACAGTGATTTCTCTTCCTTGATTTGATCTTGTAGCGCATAAAACTATCTTGAGTTCGGTAGGTCTGTTGGTATTTTGAAGGAAGGTTGCATAGAAAATTTTCAATGTTGTTGATCCGTCTTTTTGGCACTTCCTAGCTTCAGCCTCGTCCCTAACGTCATCAAACGATCTGAAGCTTTGTCAGCTCATCTCTTTCTCTCTACTTTCTCTAAGGTCCTTCTGAGATTCTGATTGAAACAGATACCGTCGATTTGGTTCTGTGCAGTATGATTCGGTGAAACCCATGTAGCTTTATGTATGTGGAAAGATTTTGCCGTTGAAGACCAGTTGATTGAAGGCACATAGGTTTGTATGTGGAGCACTTTCTTATTCATGGCTGGAGTATCATAGCGTCTCTCCTGAAGCTAGTCATTGTTATCCAAACTGCGTCAGAAGAGTCCCACTAATTCTCAGCAACAGCAGGTTGTATCTTTTCCTTTTCGCAGCAAACTAAATGAATCTCCCGGTCAAGCACTGTGTACGAACACTCTATGCACTTATTTAAATGGTAGCTTTGGTTGTTAGAAGGTGCGTTGGCCTCGTGAATTCTGACGGAACTCGGCTTTCATCATGAGACGTCACAACTCTTCTAAATGAAGACATTCCAACTGCTGCGACAAAGTTCAGTCGGTTCAAATTATTTTTTGTCATTAGCGGTTTTTAGCGAATTAATTTTCCATCGGATGGTTTTGTTAACCTCATACCTAACCCAGCTCCTTTATTCGGGCTTGGGACTGGCTCCAATCCCAGAATGGCTCCAGGCAAAGTTTGGTGAAGTTTCTTCTAAACTTCGTCTAACGAAAACGTGGCAGTGAACCATGATCTTAAGGTTGTGTTGTATAATACCCTAGGATCATCGTGAGTCAGGGCTAAAGACACTGACTCCTCCCTCATGTTGTAGTTATTTACAGTCGTATATGTATTAGTATGTAAAAGAGCTCGATCATGTAGATAATCTCTAACTGAAAATAAGAACAGTTTGCTAGAAAGCTTACAATCAGCTGCAGCACACACTTGAAAACCTTTTCCTCTTCTGGTCAGATTTCGACATGCAGTAGCATTGTGAACTTGCAGTTCGTTCTGCAAAAGACTTAAAAATTAAGGAACATGGGAAAAGGATTTATGTTATTTCCACAAGTACTTGCACTATAGCCTTTGAAATTTATCATCGTTTTCTGTTTAAGATTTGTCAGTGCTTTGATTGGTTTTATCTGGGGTCTAGAAATAACCTGCGATGCTTCCAAAGCAATGCGAAGAAACACTCTTTGTATCATTTACAGCAGGACGGGATTAGATCTCCTGCATGGTAACGCTATAGCTGCTGGTATTCATAAACGCTGCTGCTCTGAGAAAAAAGTAATCATTAAAATCGTGGGACATAAAATTTCACAAACAACTGCCAACTGACTAGCATTAGTCCAGTCAAGTGACTAGACTACAATTCATTGTATCATAAAAAAGCCAGTCGATTTATTCTAGCTCGAGTAATAGACATTGGATATTGAATTGCGATACTTTGCATAATTCGGATCTGGTACCAGCGAAAAGTGCGGTGCATTTGGTGTAGTTCGCGATATGATGGCTGTGGTCATCATAACACTCTTAGTTTTCTCCTGCAGTTTAGCAACATCTTTGAGTAGTGAAAAAAAACCAGGAGATTCGGATGAAATCATCTATTTACCAGGTGCTTGGCCACAACCGAATTTCAAGCAGTACTCTGGATATCTTCATGGATCTACTGACAAAGTCAACCTTCATTACTGGCTTGTTGAAGCTGCTTCGTCACCGAAATCCGCCCCACTAATTTTATGGCTAAATGGTGGACCTGGATGTTCTTCTCTAGAAGGTTTGCTTAATGAAAACGGTCCCTACTTAGTAAGTTCCTTGTGACAGACTTTTATGGTTTATATGATGTTCAGTATATTTGCTATGAAAATCATGGCAAACCGCTTACAAATTGAACGGCTTCCTACTCTTATCGACTCTTTGATTCAGACTAGAATATATTATCCTTGCACTTTACTATAGTAATTTGAAACTTTTCCTGCAATTTCACTCCTAATCAGTTTTGAATATTTTCATAACAGTGGGCACTTAGTTGAGACCACCAAATCAAATTAGATTAAGTTGTGTGTTAATTGCTAAAAGATTTGTATGATCACCGAGCTTAACATATGTATTTGAGTTTTCATGCTATGCCGTCTAAATAGGAAATTATTATCGAGTCTCATATGCTTTGTTAAAAAGATAACACGATAATGCACTTGAAAGAATCTGGCAGCCGTGGTTTATATTTCTATGAAGACTTCTGATGTTGTTTTTGAGAATTTTATATGTTGAATGACCACTTGTTTGCTGAGAGCACTCAAAATATTATGAAGTTAAAGGACAATCTACCAGTCTCCGAACGCTATTAATCAAGATTTCTCCTAGGAACTCTGTGTATCTCCAGAGTATATGTTTATACTAGTAGCCATATTGGTAAGTGTAGACTATTTGATTGGGGTAGGCGAGACAATAGTAACTGGTGGTTAGAAGAGCCCTTGAATAATATGTCTCAAGATTGTTTGCAATGGCGCAAGTGCGTCCATTCTTTATTTCTCTCTCAAATCCCAATCCTCTGGATTCAACATCACCTTTATCTTCTTCTTAAGCTTATTTCACTGGATTACACTTCTTGAATAATATGTTAGAACCCTGACTTTCTCGATTACCGCTAATACTTCTACTGCCCCTACTTCTTTGTGATTGGAACTGAAAATTTCATCTCTGTGCTAATGTGGTATGGCAACTTGAACTGATATACGTACGTGCAAAGTTCTACAATATAGCTAACTGACTGACCAGTAGCCCAATAATCACTGTAATCCCTGAAAACAGTGGAACCATAATCTGATGTGTTGTCAGTCATGCAAAATAAAACTCGTCACTTATCTTACCTAAATGAACGACTATCGTTTTTATTGAATTTTACTGTTTCAGCTCAAGAAAGGACCTCGTCTTGTGGAAAATCCGTACTCCTGGAATAAAGTGAGTCAAGATTTTTTGTTAAACGGATTTTATTAAACACCTCAAAAATGATTTTAGTCTTTTTCGTGAATAAATCTAGTTTGTTTAGTTATGATAACACATCATTGTGCTTATCAACACATTGTTCAACCAAATGCCATCAATAGCAAGTTTATTTCTTACCGGGCCTGTCTTTACTACTCTACATTTATAAAATACAGCTACTGTTAGCAGACCATGTAGTAATTTATTTTGTTTCCTGATAATTGCTGACATGTTATGGAACTAATAAAATACGTCTTGTTTGAATTCATTCTACGGTTTGTGAAATAAAGGCAAGTCTGTTGACGTAGCCTTCTGCTGTGTTTATGCTGTATCGCTTTGTATCGAACCAGAGTTCCGAAATACCCCATGTTGAGACCAAGTTACTGCACTAATTCATGGGGTCACCGTAATATTTTGTAGAATCCCCGATCACAAACAAGCATATATATATTAAACTAGTTAGGCATTTAAACTCACACTGGGTAGACTTATTTCTCAAAGATTCGTGTTTATCTGCATACATGTTTAGGGAATGTATGTGCTTGTATGACCGCCTAACTATTTACTCGTTTATTACCTTATACCTTTATATTTTAACCTGTACAATGATCAGTCATTTACATATATACATATTTACTTTATCCATTTTCTTGAATATATCTGTATTAAAAATAACTTTACCCTGCTCTATTTTCACTTGTCTTCTAGATTGCTAATGTTTTATACTTGGAGGCTCCAGCTGGTGTAGGATTCTCTTATTCTACCGATCCAGATCAAATTTGGGATGATGATAAAGTGAGAGTGTTGTATTGTTATTGTTGTGATCAATTGTTTTAATGTGTCAATTTCATCATTGTAGTTTTTTTAATTGTCTAGATATCGGTTTACTAATCAAGGGATGGGTGTACTGTGCGGCAGTTCGCTCCGTTCTCCTATATGGATGCGAAACATGGCCGTTAAGAGTAGAACATGCTCGTAGGTTTCTAGTATTCGACCATAGATGCATTGCTCGTATACCGTGGGACAACGGAGTAAGCAATGCTGTCGTTAGGAAACGGGTGCTAGGTAAGGATGGCAGATCAATAGATGAAGTATTGAAACTCCATCAATTGAGGTGGTTGGGACATGTGTTACGTACGGCTAACCACTGACTACCTCGACGAGCTTTGTTTTGTGGTGTAGGAGTAGGTTGGAAGAAAGCTAGTGGCGGCCAAACCAAAACATGCCAGAAATCCGTGAAGTCACTGACAAGTGGACTGAGTCATGTTGGTAGACGTAGACTACCTGGTTGGGGTCCACGAAACGAAATTCACCGATGATTAGGGACCTTGAATGACATGGCTCAAAATCGTTTGCAATGGCGCAGGTGCATCCACTCTTTGTTTTCTCTCGAATCCTAACCTTTGTCTTTCTAAACTTGTCTCACTGAATTATACTTCTTGAATAATGTCTTCGAACCCTAGTCTTCTTCATTACTATTATTACCCCTACTATCTTTATCACTATGGGATTTGATTTGACATTTGCGTCTCTGTGCTCATGTGGTATGGCTACATGAACTTATGTACATACGTACGAAGTTCTACGTTGCAACTGACTGACTGACTGAACACATCTACTACCTCTACTACAATTATAGGATTTGAAGTGACATTTGCATTTCTGTGTGCTAATGTGATGTGGCAAATTGAGCAGTGATCTACGTATCTGTACGAAGTTCTACGTTGTTGTTAACTGATTGAGAATATCTGTCGTCTATTACTTTACGCCTGTAAGTTATTATTATCGCACTATTCTGATAAAATTTCTCTTTTTTTTCTGTTCAATTTTCCTTGTTGGAAAATTATTAGACTGCTTTAGACAATTATCATGCATTGCTTCATTTCTTGAAAAAATTCCCTGAATATGAAGGACGTCGTCTATTTATTGCTGGTGAAAGTTATGGTGGTGTTTATGTGCCAACGTTGAGTTTACTTCTTTTGAATTCATCTAAATTCGACTTTAAGGTAAAGTTGAACAGTTTCCTCTTTTTTTTTAAATGCACAATTTAGTTATGATAAATTTTTAGTAAATAAACAAACCGTTTTTTTTGAGGGGAGGGAGTTCGGGAACCATTAAGCGCCTAAAAGCACTGAATGACCATTTTATTCTAACACACAGCTCTTTTTTAATGTGCATCCGTGACGGTACAACACAATCTTCAGTCTCATGCATGAACA